AACACTATATATATATATACATATACATACACACACGCGCAAGTAAACAAACAAACAAATAAATCATGTTAGGGTCTGTGGGGACCGGTGTCTTTTGTAGGAGTTTTCAGTTTCCAGCCTGTCTGGTAGTCGCAGGTAGACCGCGAGGTTTGGACATTGCTAATTAGAAGCCAAAGGAGTTACCAGTACTCCTTCGGGTTCCTGCTTCTCTTCATACCATATAGGGATCACGACGAAAACCCTTAGTCTAATGATGAAGGCACCTGCATTCCGCCAGTAGCAAGCATACCTCGTCCCTGGCACAGAGAGCCGCCCAGAGGCGTAAACCATCGGGAGAAGCCCCGAGAGGATGGTTTCCTAAGTCGAGCGGTTTCTGTGATCTTTTTCCGTCGTGAGGGCCTAGGTACCGCTCAGTTTTTTTTTTTTTGTTTCGTTCTTTTTTTTTCTGGTTTGGGGTTTAGAGCGGCCTGCCGTAATTGGGAGCCCAATTCAATCCCATTCTTGATGCTTGATTACGGAAGCAGTTCACAGCCTCCGTTTAGTGGCGCATTCTTGATTACCATGTGCTTCAGCATTTGAAGCCGAAGTCCTGGCTTCAGCCGACCTCTTCGAACCAGCAAGCCTCCACAGCAGAACTGACAACTCAAAAAGTACATGGGCCCGAGGAATTACCAATCTTTTCCCTAGAGCCCCAGCGTTGTGTAAGACTATAGTGACTACAGTCTGAGTATACGATAAAATAGCACCCGGAGCCTTCTTCGAATCCTTCAGATGCCCCTACATTTCCCTACGTTTCCACAGCCCAGCTCTGAGCCCCGAAGCCCCAAAGCCAAAAACGCTTTGAACCCCTATGAGACTTTTTTCTAAGGGGAACCCTACTGTAGAATACTATCGTACCCCCTAGAGGAAGGCTTAGAGGAACCCTTCGCTGACCTTCGGGAGCCCAGACAGAAGAGCCCTTATAGATTCCTTAATGGAATCCTGAAGGGAATCGTGTCAGGAACCCTCAAGGACACCCTGGAAGAAATCTCTCAAACAGCTCCCCCCCTTCCCCCTCCCTCCCACCACTGCGCCGCTGCTTTCGTGCCTGCTCCCGCTCTGAGGTGTCGAGTGGGGGCGCCCGCACCCTCGCCCGCGAGGGTCGGATTGGCTCTAAAAGGGCACCTAAACCCTAAACCCTAAACCGGGGGTTGTGAGGCCTTTGATCTCTAAGAGGAGTTGAGCGTTGAGGAAGGCGGGTTTCGAGAGGGGAGAAACCTTGTACTTGGACTCTTTGTCGCGGAGACCCGCGGGGCTTGCAGACCAAAGCTGATAGGGTTTTATGTAGGGCAGGGCCTCGAGGATTAGAATGGGGTTGTGGGGTCCATCATGGTGTACTTACATCGGTTATTCGACCCCCAGCTTATTTGGAAGTAAGGGGCTGGAAGGAAGGGGGTTAAGCAGGTAAACCCGTCGGGTTTTCACCCTTTCAGGGCATGCAAGCGCACACACACACACACACACACACACACACACGGGGTAGGTTTCATCTGGCACAACGGACCTGTCTCTTTGATCAAGCTTCTGCATTCAAGGGTTTCTGTCTGCAGGCCGGTGGTGCTAGTGTGGGCCTGTCAGAAGGCCCCCTGAACCACAAGCTTGCATGGTGTTCTACATTGACGTTTGAGCCGGATGAGATCATACAAAGGGAAGGGGTGGGGAGGGGACTTTCGAAGGCCACGAGACTTCCGGCACGATCTGGACACGGCTCTGGATGGTGGGTGCCCGGTGCATCGTGTTCGATCTCACCTACCAGCATGTGCCTTTGTTTGCAAGGGCCCGGAGGCCGCAACAGGCCATCTCCTTCTACTCGTATCCACAGGTATACACGTAGATGTAAATAAATGCGTAAATAGATAAATGAACAGATTCATAAATAACCAAATAAATATGCATATGCAACATATGTATATAAGCATATATATATATATATTAATATTATATGCACACACACACACCTATATATATATATATTATTTATTTATTCATGTATGTATTTGTTTCTACTAAAAAGTGCATGTATTGCAACCAAGTACATTTGCAGGATGTGTATGTATGGTTCTGCAGGCAGCCACTCTCTGTGTGCGTGTGTGCTGCGCATTTTGACATATAGAGTATATATGTATATATGTATATATATATATATACACATACACAAAAAACATACAGACATATATATATATATACACACACATACACACATATATATACATATATACACACACACGCACAGACACACACACACACACATATATATATATACATATAAATATATACACATACCTATGTATACACATGCATGCATATATACATGGACACTCACACAGACATACGTATGTATTTATGTGTATATGTATCTATGCACACACGTCTATACACAAACACACTCACACACACATATACATATATAGATATATGTGTGTATATATAAATTAATATGAATAAATAAATGAATATATATATATATATACATATACAGACACACATACGGAGAGAGAGAGGGAGAGAGCGAGAGAGAGAGAGAGAGATAGAGAGCCACCGACAAGCTGATACCTGCATGCAGAGGTGTGGTCCAAGTTCTTGGCCTTCCTGTGTCCTGTCCGAAGTAAGGAGCTTCCTTTAGCAGCTTTCTATGTTGGTTATGTGCGTACTGCGCATGTTTAGTACCGGTTCATCTAAGGGTTTAGTGTCCAGCCTTCTATGGCTGCATGGTTCTACGGTTAGTCCTAGCATAGTTTGAGTCCGGCGTAGATGCAGCTCTGAAGATGGCACTCGTAAGGTCATCATTTTGCTGTGTTGTCAGTCTTCGTTTTCTTCTCTTATGCCCAAGTCTTCCTTCAAGTCGTTTCATTTGGAAGGGTCGTGTAGCTGCTACATGATTGAACTTGGGTAAGAAGGGGCTTCATGACTCCGGTCGTATATTGCAAATGTCAAGAGTAGACATTGCCCTATATCACGGCTTCGATGTGCCACTGACGGCTGCTGAAAGATTACTCGTTTTGGCTGCATCCGCTGTCTAGGAGGGCACGCCCAGGTGTTTCCTCAACGCGACGTTGCTGCTGGGCGAGGAGAGCTTCTATTCCATACTGTCTCCCGGCGCGGCTTTCGAGGGAGGAATGCATCTGAGGCAACTACTCACTACAACCTTTGTTCTTGTTCATGGAATCAAGGTCGCAGCTGCCATCCTCCTCCAGCTGCGTCCGGAATCACCATGTCGGCTTCTGCAACCAGACTGGCGACCAAGTGTTCCGGGACGCGCGGATTCAGGCTGCAGCATCCGTGCTCTGGGGGCTGAAGCAAGATCGTATTACGATACCAGGATGGCATGGTAAACTGACAGCGGGCAAATAGAAAGCAGGTTCTAATCAGAATGGAGCAGCTCAATGCTGCATAATGCTGCGTTCTCGCGCTGCCAGACAACTGAAAGACACATCTGCTCATGCAGCGTGCGTTCGACTAGGTCTCGGACTTTAGGCAGCAAGCAGTGTACAAGACTGCAAGGCGCGAGCAGAGCGACGTCCTCTGGCTCGCGCATGCTCGCGATGAATTGTTTCATGTCGACCCTGTGAGTTGAACTGCATCAGCAAGTAGTTGCAACTCAAGAACGTATTGTGCCTTTTCCAGTCGCAAGGCTTTATTCTGCGGCAGCAAGGCTTGATGACTGCCTCAAAACCTGCTGGGGCTCGAAGGTTTTCTGCAACGGAAATCCCCTAGCGTTGCAGAGCAGCACAACTAGCAGCACTAGCAGTCGATGGTCAGTCGGGTGCGCCACGATGCTGCAGAAGCCCTTGCGTGATGACGATCCCGTCCTGCTGCACAGCCCATCAGATGAATCGTTGTTCGATGATCTCAATCATGTGGCTAAAGCTACACCAGGTATGGTCTCCAAGTCCATCGCTTACCGGGGCAAAGACGACAGGAGCGAAATTGCGCGCATCTTGGGTCATCTACCTATGGTGAAGCAATCTCGCACTCTTCGAGTTCGGCCGAACTGCTACACACCTCAGAGTCAACCCCAGAGTGCCCGAGGAGAGCGTCCGCAAGAGCGTCCACAGAGTCGAGCTGAAGGCAGGCTTACACCAAGAGCAGCCTCGTACATGAGGCCACCCTCGGCTGGCTGCACAGCAAGGGCGACGGCGAAGACCCCAACGCCCCCTGCTGCAAGTGCACTTCAGACGCACCGTCTCGTGACACCACGGGCAGCAACACCACGGGCGCCCCCCAGGAGCGCCTGGGATGGGCCTGGGCAGGAGGAGCGCCAGACGCAGAGGTCCCCCACTCCGGCTCCAGCTCCACAGGGTGCCCTGCAGGCACTGCAGGCACTGCAGGCAGTCGCAGAGCCTGAGACCCCAAAACCAGTTCGGGAAGCGGAGGTCACGGCGAGAGGTTTGCCGGCTTCGGCGGCCTCGGCCGAGGCGTTGTACCAGCAAGCATCGCAGACCGCCGTCAGTGGCACCCGGCTTGGGTTCTCCGTGCTGCCGCAGGAGGATGACGTGCCGGCCGTGAGCGAGAAGGAGGTGGAGCAGGTTCAGAAAAGATACCTTCACAAGCTCGCTGAGGTGGGCGTCGACCCCAAGGGGAAGACGGCGGGGCAAATTCTGCAGACGCTCTATGCCCGAGGGAGTCGCACCGAGTCTCAGCGGATGAATGCGGAGGCACAGAAGAAGGTCCTAGTGCGCTTGCGGACGCCCCTGTGCATTAAGACGGTGCTGAAGGAGCGTGCGCTTTCAGAGGTAAAGGCAGCACGGGACAAGCCGGCGGACCTGGTGGACGAGTGCTTGGATCGATGGGAGATCGAGACGCTTGCAGAGGTCTGCCGGAGCATGAAGCACTTCGACGAAGCTGCGGCCGGCCATGTCTCTACCTACACCAGGAGCTATGGAGGCAGACAGTACCTAGGCAGGTATGACCGGAAGAAGTACATCCGGCCACCGACGCCGTGACCACTCGGAAGCAGTTGCCAGATGCTGAGGACAGGCGAGTTTTTTGTTGCTAGGGCTCTTGAGATGTGAGGGTTTCAGAAAAGTGGGGGCACCCTGATGTAGAACACTAAGGGAAAAAGAGGAGCATCATCTTCATACTGCCCCTAGGTACTAGTACAGGAGACCCCGGAAATGCCCCATATGAGAGCTCTGTGTCACCGACCTGTTTCACCCCTTGGTTTATCCGGCAGAGCTGGGCGTCTTGGAAACAGTGCATCCGAGCGATTTTTGTTGGAGAGTTTCTGCTGGGGCCCTGCAAGATTAGAGTGGGGTCTTTGGTATGGAACTAGCAGGTTTATACACTGGGCCTTGGCGATTGGCAAAGGGGTTTTGGTGTATATTTTATTCATTCAGAGCCTCATAATACCTGTAGGCTGGTGAGTGTGTCTTCACGGATGGCATGCATCGTCAACTGACAGGTATCGACTTATCAGCAGCCTTGTCCAAAGACGTATCGGCGTGGTCAATGATGGGGGTGGTGATATTTCTTTTTGTAGCATCCCTTGGAGTAGCCCCTCTAGTCAAGCTGACAGTAACCACCTTTATAGTCACCCTTGGAGCAAGCTTGCAGAAACCTCTACGGTAACTTTAACTCCCACGCACGGTAATCCTAAACCCTCATGCTAATCCAACACCCGGCTGGAAGGTGGTGTTGAGCCCAGTGGAGAGCGAGACGCTGCAGTTGGAGTTCCCCAGCGTGAGAACCCTCTGGGTGGTTTTAGCTGCTCGGCCTTTCAAGCCACGACGTTCTGAAACGGTACATCGGACTTCGGGGTTTCCTAGGTAGTATTAAGGAGACCCCTTTAAGGGGGCCCTTCTTAACCCTGCTTATGGCTCTCTTAAAGGGGACCTTATTCACAGGGTCTATATCCCAAGGGTCCCCTAATCCTATCTCCTAGGGTTCTGAGTAATTATGAAACAGCTGTCAGGCTGGGAGGCCCGACAAAAAGGGAGTTGTCCCATGGCCCAGCTCGAAGATCTCAAGTAGCCACTCAGGTTTTGTGAGCCCCCTTAAGGACTGTCATGAATAAGCACAGCCTTTCATCTGGGTAGTGGATGTACTGATGCTTAGAAGCTTGCAGACGTCAGAAAGCAACATGAGTCGGATTAAGACGGAGAGGTCACGTTGCAGAAGCAGGGTTGCCGGTTGCCGTACTGAAGCTCCAGGTGAACACTCAAGCCACACCCGAAGCATCACCACAATAGACCCAATATTGATCAGTCTTTGGGATCACGTCCTGGAGCTTCAGTATGAAGATCTTTTGTTTTCTAAAACTCACCGATGCGGCGGAAATGCAGCGGGCTGTCGTTGGTTTTGCGTGCTCTTTGCACTGCTCCGCTTTGTTGCCCACGGCCCTTACAGCGACCCAACCGGATCCTGCTAAGACCGGACCCCCCCCCCCAAGTAACAAGAAGCCAGAAACTCACAACACCCAACCCCAAGCCCTAAAGGCCCTAAACCCTAGGCGAAAAACCCTAAACCCCTGGACTCTGAACCCAAAAGCCCTAAAACTCCAAGCCTGCCCCAGGTTGTTGCCGTTGCAAACTCCAGGTACATGAACAAGCTCCAGGCTCATCAGCTCCTTTCTCCCTACTCTTGAAAACGGTAGGAAGAAGGGAAGAATAGGAGAGAAGGGGGCTATCTTGTTTGGGCCTTTCCATTCTTAAAAGGAACGGGATGCAGAGTGTAAAGAGGCCTATGGACTGTGATGGCCTATCGTGGCAAGACATGCGAGAGAGTTTGGAGAGCTGACTTGGAGCACATGGCAGTGATGCGCATGCTGCTATCGGGACCTAACTACACTCTAAAGCCTGATCCCTGGTGTACCCTGCATTCTAAAGCCGAAAGTTCTAAACCCGAAAGCGGTTTAGAGGCTTGGATCGTCTGGACGCTCGCGGCGCTCGGCGCATTCCTCTGCTCCGCACACGCAGCCATCACGCTGGTGGACCTTGCACACTGCGGCCCAGGCAATACGGTTTCATTGTCCACGCCAAACACAGCATCTCCAACGACTTAGTTGCTGCTTTACCGTCGCAGCAGTATCCCCTAAACCCTGAACCCTGGCCCTTTATCGAACCCCCATGTTTGAAGCTTCGAAGACGGCAGAGGCTCCCCAGAGCATGCGATAGACTGGGAGACTGGGCCGTACTTGAGATTCGGCGCCTTCGGGCGGTTTGATCTGAGTTTTTTCGGGGTTGTCAGAGAGCTCTTCTTGAAGGGCCTAACCTGGCTGAAGCTACCCAGCATAGTATTCATTGCTCTAGTACTTTACATAGCCCTCGCGTGGCAACGTAAACCAAGTTCCCCAACCAAAAACCCAGGAGACCTTGGATGGAAGCTGGGGGACAACGCAGGAGCTGCTCGGCGAGAGGCGCGCTTTCAGAGGAGTCCTCCGAGTTCATTGGTTAACGTGTTTTGTGGTTTAGGGTTTCGGGTGCTTGGGCGGGCTGGTATGGGCTGGCTCGAGCTCGGCACAGCTGTGCCGTGCTCGGAGGATCTTGAAGGATTGGATGCTACCTGGATTTTGTTTACCACTGGGATTTTGTCTGGCGGGTCTCGTGTCTAGTGTAGTTTGCTCATACAACCAAACGATCCGCTGTGCGTGATTCTGACCGCCGCGCTCGCAGGAATCACCAACTATTTTCCTTCAGTTGTTTCGCCAACATCCTAAACCCCAGTAGTATAATAACCCTAAACCCTAAACCCCAGTAGTATAATAACCCTAAACCCTAAACCCTAAACCCCAGTAGTATAATAACCCTAAACCCTAAACCATGTTCGGCTTGTGGGGGTTTCAAGGGGGTACTGGGGCCCTGGGGAGTCTCAAAATTACTCGGTTACATCCGCCCCTGAACCGTTTTAAGCCTTAAGATCCCATTTCTTGTACTCTGGGCCTGGCGAAGCAAAGCCATCTCGGGTGATTTGTGTGAGGATCCCGAGCTTTTGTCAAGGGTTTTTTCCCTTTTAAGTTACCACAAGAGGGATCTGTAGTAAAGGCTTGCTGCGGCTTCCTCAGTTTGGTGACTTTTAAATTTGAACCGAAACCCTAAACCGCAAAATCCCTAATACTACCTGGGAAATACCCTAAACCCTGAACCCCTAAACCCTAAACCCCTAAACCCTAAACCCTAGCTTCCCAAAAAAAAATACGAACCCAGGCTTGAGAGGATGGAAGATCCGTCAGGGCAGGGGTTGAGCATTGACACTTCGTCATCTCACGGACCTCCCCATATTCCGGAGCCCACACACAATACGATAGAGGACAATACAAATGAGATGCAGCACAATATGCAAAAAACAATATAATATAGCATGATCTATCACATGGCCGTATAGCAGACTATGATACTGTAGTATGAGATGATGGTATTCCCATTTTGTGAGAATCCCATGCCTACATCCTGCAAGGGCTGAGGCTTCAGGGCTAAACAGCATCCGAAAGCCGCATTCGAAGGCACGCGCCGCTGGCCAGCGCAAAGCGCGTCGCGGAGTACTGCTGGGTGCCTCCGCGCCCCCGCCAGGCAACATGGCTGGGGACTTTGCCCAGGACCATGTCGTGTGACGGAGAGTGTGCAGGGTCCGCGCCCGCCGCGGCCGCCCCCACCCGATGATGAACATGAAGGCGAAATGAAGCAGCGGACGATGGATGCGAACATGACTGTCTTCATGCGCGAGCTTCGGCCTCTTACTTAGATTTCATTCCGTCCCTGACCGAGTTGGGGGTCATGGGGCCGCGTACGGTTGTGCAAAGCCGTAGTCGTTCGCGATTTGGCAAAGCTGTTGCTAGCTGAGGACATGTGGTGACTTGGCTGTAACTGAGGCTTCGGCTTTCTGATTTGAGCCAGATTTCAAGAACTCCAACGTCTGCTGTTCATGTGTACCGTTACTAGAATTCATGTTCATGCTGTCATTCTTGCCTTCCCGCACTAATTATCCAATTCAAGCTGTCGACGTTGTTGGGCTGTCGTTGTCGTCGTTCGCGGCGCTGGTGCCGGTGCTCCGGACCCCACTCGCGCATCGATCCATGTCTGTAGCCGCGGTAGCAGAAGGAGAGTATCTTGGCAGGGGTTCAGATGATCAGGTCATTGACCCAACCTTCTATGTTGGTATCCCCAAGGTAATGATGGTCATACTGATGCGAGCTCTGCTCTGCCGTCTCGTCTTGTCTACGGCTTCTTCCAGTGTTTTCATTTTCGCCCGTTGCTCTGCTACTTGTCTCTTGTGTTTTGGCTTGTTGCCGCTCTTTCTCGTCGGAGGTGCTTGGTAGAGCCTGTTGCAAGTACCATGGGCGTCACTTCTTGCTAACGACCACTTGGCTGCTACTTGTAGTAAAGCAAGATCTAGCTTGCAACATCGGTGCGAAGTGAACCTGCCTGGATATGAAACCAACCTACAGAGAATATCGCTTCGGATGCCTTGCCAACAACATCCGGATACATGCGGCCCGGGGCGCATTGCAGAACACGTTTCAATGCAACCAGCTGCCAAAAGAGACTGCGGCACGGCTTCAATAGCCGGCACCAGGAAGGACCGGTGCTCTGTTTCTCCTGTTGCGTTTTTGTGGTCAACATCGTGAAACTCTTACCCTGTTTTGGTGGGCCCTTGTTCTGTTCTTTCCTTATGCACTCTCCAGCGATAGCTGGTGCGATATCTAACCTGGTCAAGCGAGGGTTACCTGGTTCCGCCATGCATGCTTTTGGCTGTTGTGCTGGCCATCGATCGACACTACTGACCCCTACCCCTGACCGCTACTATTTCTCCTGCCGCTACAAATACTCTTACGACGACTACGACGACGACGACTGCTGCTGCAAGTACCGCCATCCCGGCTTACGACCTACTTTGCTTTGTTCTGATTCTTTGGAGTAGGATCTTTACATCATTCATGCCTGGTTTGGTGTAGTGGTATCCCTCTTTCTCCACGCCCTACTCTAAGCCCAGAACACTTGAGAATCCCGAACCCGTTTCTTGGCGGTTTAACCAATAGAGGGGTTTGGGGGGAAAGCAGCGTGTGCGCAAGGATCGCCTTGATGGACTCTGCAAGCTTTAGCCTGGACTTCGACAACCAGAGCTTGGTGCCTTTCCTGATTCCAAAGATCAGACATTTTCCTTTGTTTTTGGCTTTTGTGCCTCAGTGTCTAGTAGTATGGCTCTTCTGGTTCTGCCTCACATACATTTGTACATTCTCTTGATTTAGGCATACCTTTCTCAGCTTGTTGAAAGGACGCGACGGATGCATATACATTGTGCATCTTGAGTGCATCTGTTGTCTGCATGCGCACGCACCTGTGCGCAGATATATGTGTGCATGTGTGAATGCAAGCATGCAGGGGCATGATGTATGCATGCGCTTTTATGTGCGGATTTGTGAATGGGCATGAGGAATTTGGTGGGTGTTGAATGCATGCATTCAGGTACGCATGGTTTTGCCCCTCCTTTTGCCCGTCCGTCTCGGCGTGTACGTCTTCATGCCTGCATGCTGTAAGGCGGCACACAGGCGGAGACTTGAGAATTGGGTACATCAGTGCATGCGATCCCCTCCCGCCCCACACACACACACACAACATGTTAATGCGCAGCATGCCTCTACAGAAACAAGGTTGTGAGCCGAAAGCTGCTGCTTGCAGGTGAGGAGCTATTGCATTGAGGTTCTCGAGATGATTTCTCTGGCCTCCTGCCTTCGCTGGCTGACCCGAGGTTGCATTCCTGGGCGGCGTTCCGAGGTTTCCAAGGGTTGAGGTCTTCGGCTAGTGTTTCATTTTCGGATTGCACAGCTGCTTCGCCTGCCGCCGCACCCACCAAGGCTTTCTGTCCTTGGCAGGGCGACCTTAAGTTTGATTGAAACAAAAAAAGGTATTTCCGAAAGCTCGAGATCTTACTGCCGGGACAGCCAGCACAGTCGTTATGAACGCAGCATGGCGACATTGATCGACAGTGGTGGTGATGATGACATGACAGTCCTATGCAGATGATGGCGGTGCGGGTGGGACCGTTGACCGTCTTCCTCACTGCGTCCGTTGCTGTCATCCTGCGTGTTGACTGTCATGTCGCTTCTTTGAAAGGTCTTCCTAGGATACTTCCCCAGCCTGATGCTCACATTGCTGGGTTGCCCAAAGTCGCAGCGGCCTTTCAAGGAACAGCTCCGAGCTCGGGAACTCCATCCGATGTCAGGCCCGAAGATCGCCGTTGGATGTCTCTAGGCTTCAAATCTCGATGAAAGGACTCAAAGGCGATCGCCCGTTTTCGTGGGGACCATAAAGTCACCCCTTATCCCTAAAACAAGAAGACAGCCTTGAACTTAAGCCCCTAAACCCAAAAAAGGTTTGGAGTGCATGTCTCACACCGACTCGAACCTATGGAACCTCGCCTGGCATGTCTGAGTTGTGAGAGCGTAAAACCCCAAAACGCGAGTGTGAGAGTCGAAACCCCTAAGTGAGTCGAAACACGGATTGTTGAAGTGTTCTGCGCAGTGGCAGGCCGCATCTCAGCCGTCGCTAATGCAAGATTTGGTAACTCACTGGCAGCGCGAAGTGGCGGGCGTGATTCCTGGCTGAGAGATGTCTCGTTTAGGGTGTGAGGAGCAGGAATGTGACTAGCTCTCAGTGGTTGTGGCAAGGAGGCAAGCACAAAAAGACAGCGAAATCCGTAGGCCTGGTCCGTGGCGAAAGCCTAGGAAGTTGTAAAGTTTTATAATTAACAATGACATGTAATAGAGCATAAGGCATGTAATTGAATACAGCTCTTCATATCTATAGACATGAACATGTACAGATGGGTCGATCTAGCAACTTGTGTACGAAAGCATCGGGTGATACAAGGCATGCTTGCGTGGAAAGCGATGTGTAGGAAATATGTATATCTGCGTGCCTGCAGAGGCAGGTATGGTTAGATACAGATATGACGGTATGCCAACACAAACGAACACACATCTGCAAGACTAACTCAGGGGTATGTTGGAACGGTTTACTACAGGCACACAGCTGCGTAAGTTCTTATATACCTGCATGAGAGGGAATGTGCTGGTAACATGTAGGAATACCTGAGAAAATGTAAGATTGTAGATTGTGAAATCATCTTTGACACAACTGGTGGCTCGAAGCATCGCATAACACAGAAGGGGCGAGGAGAGTGAAAGACTCAAGGAGCCTGCATGATCGCACAGCACAGGCGTACCTGTTCGTACAAAGGAACGCAACACAAATCATGCGAGAACTGTTGATGAAGCTGCAAGCTTACGGATGCGAGGACATGCACCTGATACTGTGTGGGAATACGTAGGCCACCGAACAGTACATACGACTAACATGAGAGTACCCAGTATGGTCTGTCAGGAGTCACGCCTACAGCAGCCACCAGAGCGGTGATCCTCGGGCTTTTCTGCAGCTGGCTGACCACTGGGAGCTTTCGGCCCTTGCTGCGCAGGGCTGCGAGGCCATCATCAGTAGCTCGGATGAGGCACCACATGAGGCTTGGGATCTTTGGGGGTCTGGGTTCAGGGAAGGGACGACAGAAAGATCATCATGTGAGGGTTTAAACCGGTAGATGAGACAAGAACCCACAAGACATCAGGTTTGCTTTTGTTTAGCCCTGCGTCGGTTCGGGGCTGCGCGAGGCTTGTGGTCCCCCACGAGCATCCGACCGTGGGCTGATCTTTGTAGCCGCAGTGGAAACATTCGGTGCTCGCCGTGGATGCGGGAGCCGAACGGAGAACAAAGGTCCCACAGCTGCCTTCGCCCCCGTCCAAAGCTTCCTGTCCACGACACCTTGATCGATTTGCAGCCGTAGCCATCCATTGGGGTCAGCTCGTACACAAAATGCAGCAGTAATAAATGAGTGCGAGACAGAGAGAGCGAGAGAGAGAGACAGATCGAGAGAGCGAGACTGAGGGAGAGCGGGAGAAGAACAAGAGAGGGAAAGGGCGATAGATTCTAATGCAGTATACTTTAGTATGTTGTTTATTTCAACAAAAAATGAAGAAATTTATGCTAAGGTGGAGGCAACTTTGCCCTCCGACCGCCGACCTTGGGCGCCTCCGAGGCTTAAGGATTCAGGACTTTCCTTGTCGGTTCGGTGGGTTCATAGGGCCTTTGCGCGCGTTTTTGCACGGTCCTAGTCTACCATCAAGCCTCTGGCAGACGTGGCACGGCAAGGTCCTCAGGCCGGGGGGAATACCGTCGTGCTCTCGCGCCACCTGCTGGTGCTTGCGCAGGGTCGGGGCTGTGAGGCGCCTTGGCTTCAGAGTTGGAGTCCGAGTCCTCTGCTGCTGGCACTGTTTGGCTAAATCACGAGACGAGCATGGCAATGAGAACGGCAATTGAAGCAGTTTCAATGGCGATGTGGAGATGCGGTGTGCGAGGATGCTGGTGACGCTGGTGGCGCCAGAATCAAAAAGACACCTGGCAAGAACAAACCCAACAAGAACAATGTTGTTCTGACCGGTGTTGCTGCTCGTGGTGATGACGGTACGGACTTTGACGCCAACTACAAGTATAGTCATGTGATGCCGATCTTTACTTGTGCGAGGACGAGGATGGTGGTGACGACGATGCCAACAGATAATCGACCACGTGGATGACAACGATGATCCTGCTGGTGGGTGACCATTCTCATTCGTGATGCTGACGGCCGTGAGGGTGATTGAGATTCGTCGAGACTCCAAGCGGCTTGTAGCAAGGGCAGCATATGATTTGATTGCAGGTGGTGCCGGGCCCCTCCGCGCCGACCCTGAACTGCCGAGATCTTGGTCCGCCAAGCCCCTTGGATCCACATCTATCCTTGCTATGAACGTGCGCAGCAGGTATCCCTGGGGGGCAAGAGGAGGGGTCATGCTGTCAGGTCATTTCCACTCGGTGAACAACAGCTACCTCAGCCCGACCTTCGTGGGTTGCTTGCCTGATGTGGTTGTTCAGGGGCTTGATTCCAGGTTCGATGCTTCTCGTTCGCGACTCTTCAGCTTCAAACCCTCCCGTCTCCTGGACTCGTCTGGAGTCGGCCCGTGAGCCCAAGACATGGGAGGATTCAGATTCTCGGCAGTGTCTGCAGGGTCCAGCGAAGAGCGCATGGCTGTTCTGACACCCTGAAGCCTGAACCCTGGTGCCGGTAGCCCGTGAGTGCCGACATCTTGGGCCAGGGCTCAAGCATCTTGCTCAGTGGTCAGTAGCTCAGCCATGCACACGGAGCAGGAGGCCCTCCTGGGACGACATGATGTGGTTTTCGTCGACAAGAGCCTGGGCACTTGTTGTAGGTGCTGTTGCCAACTGTTCTGCTGCTGCTTCTGCTCGCTTCTAGGCTTCATTCTTTGGGTCGTCTTCTGTTTGATGACGACGGAATGTGGCGTTCGCAGCACACCTGTTGAGCACATTCTCCCAGAAAATGCTCTTGCAGCCGGTCTCATCCCACCCTTCGAGAGTGGGACTTTGGGCAACATGTTCCTGGATCCTGCGCTGGATCTGAATCTTACAGGAATATGGTGGATGGATGGCAACCCGTTGTTGTCGGAGCAGCTTGTCTCCTTTGCCGGGGCACAGGGCCTGGCGCCGTATCCAACGACTGTGTCCAACCCCTCCAACATGGCAGGCCGCTGGAGTTGGGCTGATAGCCTCCCTGGCCGCTTCATTATGATGCACTATGCCTTCACATCATTTGCAGAGGAAGCCCAGGAATTCTTCTTCCAGAACAAAACCTTTGCCAACATCGGCGTCATAGCTGAGGAGGCCTGGGGCGAAGGCTCCACGTTCCCAATGGAGAAGTTCGGCGGTTCTCGAACATAAAAATTTCAGCTTTAGTAGTTCTTGTGTACTCTTAAGCAGGCATGAAAAACGTGGGATGTGACAAAAGGGGCCTTCAAAAATAGCCCAGGAAAATCAACGAGGATGAGTGGGACAGGGTGGGTAGCTACGTCCTTCGCCGCATTGTCTATGGGGATGGATCTCCTCATCCCGCGTCTGGGCCGTCGTTTTTTGAAGGACTGTGAGGTTTACAGTTGAAGTCAGCAGAATAAGGAGCCTGTGTTTGTTTGCAGGGTTGCAGATGTGCCAGAACAGGGAACGTGTATTCTGGTCAAAGGGTTTTGCCTATACTAATTCACCGTCCCGAACTCCTGCTTTGGTGAAGGACTCTAGTTTGCCAGAAGCAGGAACCCGTAGAATGTTTGAGGACTCTAGTTGCAGTTGCCACAATACGGAACCGCATGTCACATAGGATGTGCCTTTGAGGTAGGTCTGTCGTACGCCTAAAATTTTCACCCTTTTCAAGAGCCCTGCCCAAAATGTGGTGCTCTTTGGCAAGAGCCCAGGTGTTCTGGCCGAAGTTTCTCAATTGGTACAAGACCACTTTCCCAGGGTATAGCATTGCCGTGTGGAGCAGCAACAATGATTGCATACGGCGACGCTGAGTTGCAGAGTAAGTAGCCTTTCACCGTTGTCTTTGGGATATTCTTTTCCTTGTACCATTATATTACTGCTTGACCCGGCGGTCAAGCTGTAGCATCTCTTGCAAACCCGAAACCTTGAACCCCAAACGCTGAATCGCAAATCCAGGATGCCAGTACTTCGCACCTTGCTTCATCTGTCAACATGTCTGTTGAGTGGCCTGAAGGAGTGAACAGGGAGAAATTTGCCCTGACAGAATGCAGAGCAGGCAGTAGCTCTTATATTTCTTATTCCTACTATCAGCGTTGTGCTTCTAATGCGCTGTCACATGTGACCCGGCAAGTGCCTGTCGAGTCCGTGAGTTTTGGGTGGCGTGCGTCAAAACGACTTGACCACCGAACATGGAAGGGCAGGAAGATCCTGACTTCCATATGTTTCACGCCGAGAACGGAACGAACCTCAGCCGGCTGAATCCGAGCGTGTCAGCATCAACTCTGTGTGGCCCTTCTGGTGCGTCTTTCTTCTTTGTGCAGTTCAGTGATGTTCCTACCAGCAACAGCAAGCGATAAGGTATGATAAGGTACAGCCAACCCCAACAAGACAGGGCGTCCATGTAAAGCCCGTAGCCCGTAGCCCTCAACCCGGAAGCCCACAAAGACAAAGAGCCTGCAAGGGAACGGCCAGGAATCCCAACCCCTCCCCCCCCCCCCNNCCCCCCCCCCCCCCCCCCCGCCCTGAACCTTGCAAGCTGAGCCAACTTTAGAAAGAAAGGCCATATCCTGAGCCTATAAACCCTACACCCTGGACCCTCACACCAAAGCCCCTAAGCCCTATACTATACCCTACGGCCTCCACCCTGGACCCTAAACCCGGTACTCAACTTTCCCATTGCCAATTACACCCTCAACGCAAAATCAACAAACCCTAAACCCTCAGCCCTAAGCCCTAAACCCTAAGCCCCAAACCCTGAAACAAAACCCTAAAACTTCCCCACAACAATCACCCAAAAAACCCCAGAAAGCGGCCTCGGAAAGAGAGCCCCGAGGCTGCGTGGCGCGGATCTTCCACGCCTGCGCCGGGCGCAGCGCCTCAGCGACGCTCACGGCCTTTCGCAGCGCCTGCCAGGCTCCGGGGGTTTCAAGAACGGCACCGTTTTTTCGTTTCGTGTTCAGGCTTGTTTTTTTGTATTGGTTTTTTAGGGGCTGAGGAGTCTGTTTGTTGTTGGCTGCTTTTTGCGAGGATTCAAGTTCAATGTTCGGTTGGTTTTGACGGATTTGGGGTTCAGGCTTGTGTAGACGGGCTCAGAGTTCAGGGTTGGGCTTAATTGGGCAGCTCTATGTTGCAGGAAGCTTTCGGTGCTTTATGCAATACCCGACAATTTACGGAATATAAGGACATCATGCTGAGGAAGCCTAGGCATGTAGATGTTCCAGGGTCCAGGTGGGGTGTACTTCATGGCTCTGGATCTTCGCACGACTTGCTCACTCTTTCGAAGATAAGGGGCGTCGGCGGTCGCTTGCAGCATCCTTATGATAACCCATAAAGATTTTTCATTGAAAGGAGCCCTAGTCTAGTGAGAAAGGCCCCTGGAAGAGCCTCAGATGGGCTTTCTGGCAGGCCACCTGTGCTGTCCTGATGCTCTTCGGGCACCCCATCCTGCACAGTACGCACACAGAGGGTTTAGAGTTTATTAGGGTTTTGCGAGGCGGGCAACATAATATACTGTACCCTGTACCTTGTTCTGATTTTGGGCTGGAAAAACCTTGTGTGGTGCACAATATGCAATCAACCACTTAGTGACTACATGAAAGCTGATCAGGGTAATTACTTTTTGAACAGTCAGGTCGGAGCTTTTTCTCACATGTGCACACGCAAGGCTGAAGGAACAGTGCTGATGTTTATGTCATTTGTGGACATGTAATGTATTTGTGGATGTTTGCATCCCTCCCCTCTCCCCTCCCCTCCCTTATATTACATGTATACATATACATACACACAGACAAACATGCACACACACGCACACATATGTATACATATATATGTACACACACATGTATGTGTGTGTTTATACAGATATAGATGCACATATATACACATATGTATATATATATATATATTTTTTTTTTTACATCTGTGTGTGTGCGCGTGTGCGTGTGCGTTGACTCTTTCGGTTTACCGGTATTCATACAAACACGTATATAATGATAAATGTAGTTTTATGTGGTGAGAAGGAAACAAAGAGAGGGAGAGGGAGTAGCGGAACGTGGTCTACTACGGTCCTGAATCTTCTGTAGTCTTCTACTACTTATTTTGTCTTGTCTTTATCTCTTGTCTTATTTTATATTAGACTTTATCATATTGTACAGTACTATGTTATGTGATATCACGTTATGTTAATGTCTGTTACGTTTTAGTGTTATATGTAATATATATATATATATATATTATCGAAACAGTAGCATAACATAAACATATACATACTATTTTACATAATGTCATGTTCTCTTTTTTGTGTGTTATGTTGTTGTTTCATATTACATTATACTACAATACATTGCGCTATATTACATTATATTGCATTCTATTACATTATTCTACATGATAATACACTATATTACGGTATACTGCATTACTGGCCACTATATCACGCTATCTTCCATTTTATTACATGATGTTAAATCAGGCTAAAGTCTCCTTTACAGTGTATATTCATATGTAATATGTACTAGGTAAGGTGTAATACGTAATATGTAACATGTGATATGTATTTGCAACATGTAATATGTAATATCTAGTATGTAATATGTATAGCTATATGTATTAAATGTATGTCTGTATGGTCCATGTCGAATGTGTCTGTAGACCCACAGGCATGCAGCCGTAAGCCTTGAACTTGGCCAGCAGTACGTATACATACCAGGACAATGCTGTTGTGGCTTTTGTGATTCAAGGGCTGTTGGCTCATCCCTCTGGCCGCTGCTGTATCAAGACCCAAACTTCAATGAGTCACATGCACGCTCCTGCCCGTCTGTATCGTCAGACTTAAAGACGGACTGTGGTGAATGGACCTATGTGCGCCAGCACACTGAGGTACATCCGAATGCTGTGCATGCGAGTGGGATGTCAGCGCCGGCAAGACACCGATCAGAGTTGCCGCTGGCTGAGTTCTCCCAGTTTCCTCCAAGCGAGCCCCATCTCCCGGTCCCCTCAGGGCTCCGAGTGGCCATCCAGCAAGCGCTGACGCTGGCCAGCTCCCGCGTGGGGGTTGGGCTCCGAGGCTGTTCAGTTAGGGAGTCCGAGACGGAGGCGAAGATTTCAGGAAGTGCCTGGAGCCCCAACCTGAAGGCCCCAAGCCCACAGCTCATCCTGCTTCATTCGGGTCAGTCTTCTGAGGAGGCGGCTCTTCTTGAATGGGTCTTTGTTGCGTTCTCGTTGCTTGACGGCCCAGCTGGCTGCCCCAAAACCCTGAAATTTATCAAGACCCTGAAACTAAATCCCTGAAGCCCTCAAAAGGGCCCAACTAATAGTATAGTGTATCCTTTTGGGCCCCAGCTATGTACTAAGGTGCAAGGCCGAGGGTCCAATGGACCTGATCTTCAACTATGCTATGATTAGACTGCAACTGTTTTGTAAGTATATTTGACATCTACTCATTGGGCTCCGATGGACCCCGGTTCCTACTACTGCACATGTACGCAAACCGAACTTAATCCGAACCCCACATACTTGTAATATCGTTTCTCGCATGTCGGACCCGGACATGCAATGTCACCCGGGACAGCCGGACCCTGCATCTTGTTGCTGCAAGACAGATGGTCTTGTGATACATGGGCTCCGGCCTGGCTACGCCGTAGGCTGGAATGCATGAGATGCAAGGTGTAGAGTTTAGGGTAGATAGGGTTCAGGCTTTGTGTTTAGAATTTGTGGGTTTAGGAAGGTTTCGGGGTATAGGGATTAAGTTTCAGACCCAAGGAAGCGTGCAGAACGCTGCCCATCCGAGGCTTCTTATGGCCTCGCTCCTGCAAGTGGGTAGCTGGGCTACAACAGTAGGTATGTTTCAGAATCTAGAAGTCGGGCCCTTTCTAAAGCTCTTTCATCTAAACTGAAGGGTCCTTGCAATGAGGAGCCTACTATTTGGGTAGTTCTCTAAGTCTAAAACCCTAAACCCTCAACCCTCTGCCATTTAGGCTCAAGAAGTCCCTCTATGGAAGAGATATAAGTGAGATTCCGCTCCTCGAATTTTCTGCCTCTTTCTTTTGAAAACCGACGGCTCCCAAACTTGCTCGTCCCTCCGACATCACTCTCATGGCTGCTAATCATAGAGTGACCCTTCGAAACCCGAAGTCCAATCTGCGACTCAGTTCCGATAAGACGTTCGAGGACCACCGAGACCGATTGGGATTCCTCACAGCACTGAGTGTACTTTTGGCCAATCAGAAGCGTGATAAAAAGCTCGATGGCTCCTACATGGGGACTGTGAGAAGAAACATTTCAGGAGGCAGGGCATTGTTTGTCAACTCGGCTTCGAGTCCTGACGTGATGGGCGGCTCTCATGACATGCTCAAAGTTGAGCTTGGGCAGTTCGTTCCAGGATTTGCCCAGACAGCTTCGTCGACTCCAGCAGAGTGAGAACCACTTTGAGAAGGAGGTGGAGGATTTGCTGGCTCAGGGAAATCATGTTTCTAGCTGGATTAACTCACACAGCCATTTGTTTCAAAGGTGGTCAAACCCTGACCCTGTAATGACCCTGGCTAACCCCCGTAAGCTGCCCCCGCTCCATCCTGGGCCTCTACGCTTTCTGATATGTATGAAGGGATGTTGTCGGGATTAAACCAAGGGATGTCAGCTTCGTTGCATGGGGTGGGTGGTTCATTGCGGAGGGAGCTACCTGGCTCCACGCGTCCGGCTATCGAAGGGGCGGGATTGGCTCCCCAGTGCCAGTGGAACGGGATGCAGGGTGTTTGCAGCCGCCGATGTCAGCCTCACAAAGCTTTGCAGGTTGGTGCTTCCTGCTGGCCCCCTGAATGTTCGCACGGGACATGGCGCTCGGGCGGAGCATGCTGTGCTCCATTGCCTTTTTCAGGAGAAGGTGGACAGTAAGGCTGAACCGTGGTTGGATTCCCAGGCTCCGGAGGTGGCCCGGGAATGGCTCAGCTACCTACTGGCAGTGGTCACTTTGCTGGGGTCGAGCGCTTTCCAGGCGGCGGATATAAAGATATCCAACTTCAAGATGACAGCGTTTGCTTCTATGTCCTGGGAAGCTGGACTAGCAAGGATGAACAGGCCTCAGCGGGGTGGAGGAAGTGGCTTGCCTGCGGTCCTGGAGCGAGGCAAGGAGCCGCTGGCGATTGTTTCTGGGCATTTTGCAGGCCAGGCACGGCGCTTCGCAGGACACTTCCTCAGACAGGGAGTTGCCATGGCTGTCCGAAGGCAACTAAAGATGGCAGCGCCAAGGCGGTTGGAAAGGGACGAAGAGAGTTCAGTATCCACTTAAAGGGTCCTCCGCGGACAGCCCACAGTTTTCACCAGGAAGGGGCCGAAAAGCGGCTCCTCGGGAGCCTGCTGGCTGGCGTCCAGCCAAGGTTGCTAATTAATTGCATGTCACAGTGCCTTCGGCAGAGGAAAGCATCGTGCGAGAAACCCTGGACCAACCTCGCCTGCATTGCCCAACCCTAAACCCAAATCCCGAAACCCTAAACCCAAGGCACCAACTCAGCGAGTGGAAAAACGCCGTGCAAAAAAACCCTAAGCCCCCATCGGAAGGGAAAACGGTGTCAATGAAACACCATAATAGTACGGCACTAGCCGTTTGGGGTCTCTTTTCTGAAGCGTTGACCTGGGCCCTCTGTCCCAGGTCATAATATGAAATACAAACATAGTATAATATACTAATAGTATACTATAATGTACTATAATATACTACAATAGATTATAATGTGCTATAATCTTTCTTTCACGAGGCTCAGGGTTGGATACGAACGCGACTAATGCACAGATGAATTCTGTAGCAAGCGCAGATACCCAGTTTGCGCTCACGAAATACCGAGCAGGGCGCTTTGCAGTAATCTGAACGATCGCATTTGAGCATGAAACCGGAAGCTCAGAGCTGAAACGCCGTAACACTAGCAACACATCGCACGCAAAAATAAAAAGCAATGTCGCACCATAACATGCGCAAAAGCTGCACACGGCTTCAAAACTGCGATGCGAAGCAGGGCTACAAATGCGCAGGATATTCCTCATGGAGATGAATGAGGCCGACCTTATCCTACACAACTATGTAGCGACATACCCGAGATGCCAGAACGCCTTCATTGGAGGTGATCTGCAGACTGCAGACATCAGTACAGCAACGCGAAAAGCTTGAGCTTTGTTCCTCATGGGGCAAAAAATCAGCAGGCCGTCACACCGCTGAGCGCCCCAAAGTACTGGCAGAGGAAGCTGCCAACACAAGGCTTCTTAGGCCGGGACCAAACTGTCCAGACAACCGCGGCAATGAGGAGCATCAGGAGCATCATTGCAATTCCGATAAGGGTGGAAACACAGTGAGCAACGTGATGCCCAGGTTCCCCGTTGCACTTGGCCAGGGCAATTGCCATCGTGTTCGCAATGTTCATCACCGCGATGGAAAAACCGCGACACACACTCGATCCTCGAGAACTCATTTCGCAACCAGGTGGCATGACTTTTGCGGCTCATCGCACGAGGCTCATGGCGAACCCTGCCCCGTGTGGAGCCTAAGCCGCGTTCTGGGGTCCCGCGCAATGCTGATCCGCTTTCGGATCGCCCGATCCCAGACCCTAATATATTGTAGTATTACATGAAAATACAATGTATTATACGGTATTATTCTATACTATGATACGATATAACTGTTCTAGGCCTGCACCAAGCCTGCAACGCTAAACTGGCATGCCTGACTGCGGAACTGAGAGACATCAGGTTGTGCCGAGCTGTTAGAGCGTAAGCGCTGTCCCTTGTCCAACAGCGCCTGCGCTTTGTCGGGTGCCTTTTCCCGGCTGTGCGTCTCCACCTGCGAAGGGAATGCTCTCGGATGAATAAAGGAAATCCCTTCTCTGGCAACCACAAAGAAGGTCTTTGTGGCTGAGGTTGGTGCACGTCAATCTCCCGAAAAGTCCGGAAATACCGAACAGCGTCAAGGAATGGGGCTCTGATCTTTAGACAAACCGCAGAAGTCCCATCGCGGTTGAGGCTTCACGGTCCTTGTCTCGGAGGTGGCTTCCAGCTGGACCTCAAAAGTGCATGAATGTTCTGACATAGAAGGCTTAGGGATCAAAGTTTGAGTGGGCGATTGAAATTTTGATATTCTGGTTGGAGTATCTCAGCGCATCCCAGTAGAGCCAGGCAATGTTGATGTGGGCGTGGGGACCAAGAGTTTAGGAGGTTTTCGAGCGTTGAGTATAGTGCAGCATGTTGTCTTAGTCAATGGCCCAAATCTCATGGCTTGCATTGTAATGATATAGCGGTACCTGCTTGCAGAGCGGACAGGCCAAGACTTGTGAAGAGATGTCAGGACGTAAATTCTAATTCCGAAACCCGTTGCGGGCCAGAAGCCAAACCGTGTCTCCAGTACATGGTGCCAGAGTGTCCATTACCCCTTCCTAAGGAATCAATCGTCGAACTTGTAGCAGGGAGCCCCGCCAAACCTAGAATATACCCTCCCGAAACCCCCTTAAACTGAAAACCCTAAATCCGTGCTTTGGACTGTACCCTGCTATGCGGGCTCGTCCTAGCTAGGTGGG